TTTACACGACCTTTATTGTGACTATACTCATTGCTGAGGTTGAGCTCCAAAACCTTAAAGACAGAAGTTCGTTTTTTACAACCTTCCATACAGACCTCTCAGATTTGAATCTTCAGTGCATTTTTTTAAATTTTTTTTGTGTAGTTTTCCTTATGAAACATTTTGTGAGGATGCTTGGGCCTTCCATCCTCATATACAGCATGCTTTAGTCCTTTCGGTATTTTGACAGTAGTTCTTGTAAGAAAACTTTAAAAGGGTGAATTACACGTAATGTAGTTAAATTTTTTTCCTATTTGTTACCTATGTGCAAGAGAAATTTTGTGTTCAACATCATTTGTATCTTTATTGTTTTCAAATTCAAAAAGCCAGATGATATTGTTTACTCAGGAGTTGTAGACGACGTCTGTGAGGGTTGAAACACCAAGCTACCGGGCTCAGAATACTCCAATCGACACCACAATGTGAAAACCCAAACTCTAACCTGGACTCCAAACGGTTGCTCCACCGTCNTTTACACGACCTTTATTGTGACTATGCTCATTGCTGAGGTTGAGCTCCAAAACCTTAAAGACAGAAGTTCGTTTTTTACAACCTTCCATACAGACCTCTCAGAGTTTGAATCTTCAGTGCATTTTTTTAAATTTTTTTTGTGTAGTTTTCCTTATGAAACATTTTGTGAGGATGCTTGGGCAATTCCATCCTCAAATACAGCATGTTTTAGTCCTTGACAGCAGTTCTTGTAAGAAAACTTTAAAAGGGTGAATTACACGTAATGTAGTTAAATTTTTTCCCTATTTGTTACCTATGTGCAAGAGAAATTTTGTCCTCAACATCATTTGTATCTTTATTGTTTTCAAATTCAAAAAGGCAGATGATATTGTTTACTCAGGAGTTGTAGACGACATCTATACCATTTCATATCAATAAACTCTCATTGTTATTGACTAGATCAGGAGTTGTAAATCACATGAAACTCCCTAGTTAATTATTTGAAAACAGGAGAGTAGCAGTATAAGCCATAATAAGAAGTAGAATAAGTTTTACACTAACCTCTCCAATACTTGTAGTGGCCTTCCACCATTATGTCCCGTATTCTCTCCAGAAAATTCAAGCATGCTTCGCTCCACACAAACTTGTGAAGCTTTGGCATCCGGTGTTTGATCCACAAGCAAGTCCTGAATTTTTTTTCACCTACTCCCTTAATTGTCAACACTTGAAGTCTGGCAAGACATTCACACAAGGATTTTGACTCGATATTATCCTAATTAGTATAGAATCGATAAATTTTAATTCACTAATTATAATGGGACTATTTAGAATCTCACATTGACTAGAAATTGAAATCACCTCCTATTGTGCCTTGTTATTTTCTTTATTTCAGTTGGTGAGATACGGACAAGACTTGGAATCCTTTGTAGTCTCTTTCGGTATTAAAAATTTTCATACAGTGGAATATATCTCTTTGTCAGCTCGTGCTTTTTCTTCAATTTTATAGTTTTTAAATAAATTTTTATGTTGTTATTTTTTACCATCTTTATATATTTTTTTGCTTTCCAAATAAATTCTTTGTACAAAGATCCATGACAAATTGAGAAATGACCTGAATTTTCAC